GACGTAATCACCTTCCGATCAAAATAGTTTTCGATGTTACTTAAGTCACCCGATTTCTATGGAGATGCCGTTTGCCTTAAGTAACAGCACTGAGAAACCCGTGAAAAGTGTACTTTCGTCGTTTCGCTTTCTCATTATTAAAGTGAATAAATCGAACTGTTTGTTGCTAAGATGATTTCGGTGGTCCTAAAATGATGAATGGGCTGCACGTAAGGAGACGTAATTGATAATTCTCCCGAATATCCTGGTAAATACACTTTGACTTAAGTAACAATAGGGGCCACCAAACGACGTATAATAACTTTTGACTCAAAAACCAGTATTTCTTAGCATGAAAGCTAGCGATTTGCCTTTGTATGATTAAAACTCGGCTAAATATGTTAAACATTGCTATCACTATGAGATTATATGTGTTTAATTGGAAATAGGAATAACTTTTCGGTCATCAAAACAAAACTTTATTTTTCTCGGATCGGTGCGAATGTTACTTACGACATAATGAAAATTTGCTCTTGATATATACTTAGTACTATCAATTTCCAGTAATATACGTTAAGTAAAGTCTAAAATTATGGCGATACATAGTGGCATTTCCTACATTACCGGGAACTCGGGTTGATCCCTGCCCTCTATCTCGGTACGCAAAAGTCTCCGGCCAATCGATTCAGGAGAGTTTTTCCTTTGAGAATATGTATAACATGTTGACTGAAAGCGTTTGGCAGCCGAGATATTCAATTTAGTCGCGGTTTTGTCATTTTTTGCCCACTGTGCATTGAGACGAGTGTCCGTTCCATTTGATCAAGATATTACTTGTAAGCTAAGACCACAGTTAACATCGATAACTATTTTGATTACGTCAAAAAGCAATTCGACTGGTAAATAAATTTAAAAATGGGATGTGATCCTATATTCGGACAGTATATAGTGTAATAGCAGGAGCATCGATTGACACTGATAGCTCGACTTTGTTTACCTTTGTTACATTCGACGTAATGAAAATTTGCTCTTGATATGATGTAAAGACACCATATACGCCCCCAGAAAAACTCTACTGGCCTAAAGGAGGATCCGGAACGACCGATAAAGTGGCCACATTATAAAAAAAAATGTCCTAGAACCTTGCGATTTTTTCAATGTTGTGCAGAATCAAGAGATTATTATGTTTCAACTGTAAGACAACTTTCGGATTTATAAAGGTTTAAAATACTTGTATTCCGCTTGCAAGTCGAGAATAGAATGATCTTATCTACTGGTTTATTTTGCTTTTATCATTTGCATGCGTTACGTGTATTACAAGTTTACCTCAGTGGGTAATATAACAAATCTCAGAGCCAACGTTTCATTTAGTTACATTTGTCATTTGACAAATACACTTCAGTCCTTCCTCCTTAAGAATCTACATAAAGTAGTCAAATAAAATTGAAATACTCGAAATTCTCGAACTAACATTAGTCAATATAATTTCACTAGTCAATGATAATCAAAATTACAATTCAGAGCAATGAACATTTGTCCACTATAATTCCGAACGTTTAGCTATAAACGAAATCTTTATCTATCTTCTCCTTACGAACTCTTTTGGACCGTCTAGGTTCTTCAATCGATGCTTCCACCGTAACAGCATTTTTTCGCTTCCTCGCCAATCGTACGGAAGGTTCAGGACTTCTCCTGTTTTCGCAAGGATCGACGACGTGTTCCCCTGTTCCACTAACCGGTCTTTGAACCGTGGTCGTCACTATTGGTCTTGGAGGAGATTCCGATGATTTTGGTATTCTAAGCTGACTGCGGTGCGCCATAGTTGGCACGCTTCCAATCATGATCTGAAAAGTATTTTTAGAAAGTCGTTTTAAAAAATGAGCTTTAATCCATTTTGCCGGAAGATTAGTATTATGGTTCCTGAACCATAAAATCTCTCCTTCCATCAGGTTGTAAATAGGATCTGTTGCCAAGTTAGCATCAGTATTAATCCCTAGACCTTCATCATCTGTTTTTTCTTGTGGTTGAAGCATTTGTCGTTTATAGTGCTTTTTGGGGTTTATTAAATCAATCAGTTGTTTTGGGCCAACAACTCTACAAATGAGAAAATATATATGGCACAAATGAGAAAATATTCTCTGATGAAAAACGCCCATCATTCGTCAAACAATTGTTTCGATAATTAAACAAAAACAAGTTAATATGATCTTCCAACTCTAACTTCATGTATTCCTGGTCCAATAAGAACTTTTTAAGCACGTCCTTGACTGTCCTTACAAGCCTTTCGGCTTGTCCATTGCTGGAAGGATTATAGGGTGGACTTTTCAGCACCACTATTCCTTGCCTTTCTAAAAATTGTATGAATACATGAGAATTAAATGGTGGGCCATTGTCCGAAACCAAAACGTCCGGCAGACCATACCTTGCAAACAATTCTACCAATACTTTAAGAACTCTTCTCGAATCCGTTCCATTCTTCATCCATTCAACTTCTAGCCATTTGGAGTGACTATCGATGATCAATAAGAAAGTCCGATGTTCAAAAAAAAAAGAAATCAATGTGGATTCTACTAAATGGTCTTAACGTTGGTGTCCATTGAGACGTAACTTTTGGTTTTGGCACTACTGCCATACTATTGCAAGCGTTAATGGGGAGACAAAACTTTCAATGTCTTTATTAAGTCCATACCAATAAACCGTACGTCTAGCGAGTTGCTTCATCCTTACTATTCCTGAATGGTTTGCATGTAATAATTTCAAAATCTCGCCTTGCATTTGTTTTGGTATAATAACTCTTTCCTGGTAAAGCAGGCACTCATCTACTATTTCCAGATCCTGTTGATTTGAAAAAAACATCAATAAAATGTTTATCCACCCGTTTCGGCCATCCTTCTTTCAAGTATGATATTATATCTTGTAGGAATGAATCAACCTTTGTCAAATCAGCAATCCTTCTATAATCAATTGGAACTTCTTTTCCAAAGTTAATGTTCCTAACAACTTCAACATCATAATCAGCAGGTACTAATTGCTCTAGAGGAAACCTAACTTTAATTTCTATGATCACTTTTTCTCGTCGCCAAACTATTATGTTTCAACTGTAAGACAACTTTCGGATTTATATTTATATTATGGTTCACCGGATAATCTGGATTGACCGATAAAGTGGCCACATTATAAAAATTGTGCTAGAACCTTGCGATTTTTTCTATGTTTGAATGAGATCAAAGCGAATTTAATAAAGAATTTAAAATTTGGGGTAAAGTGGCCATATCCTCCGGAAAATCATCTCGTGATTCTGAACAAACAACAGTTCTAGAACAATGTATATAATGTGACTACTTTATCGGTCAATCCAGATTATCCGAAGAACCAGAATATGGCCACTATATTCCAAAATATGTATTTCATGTTAAATACGCTTTGATATCTTGATTCTGAACAATATAGAATAAACCGCAAGCATGTAGGACATGTTTTATAACGTGGTCACTTTATCGGTCAATACAGATTATCCGGAGAACCATTATATGGACACTTTACCCCAACATTTCAATTCTTTATTAAATTCGCTTTGATCTCTTGATTCTGAACAACATTGAAAAAATTGCAAGGTTCTAGGACATTTTATCACTTTATCGGTCGTTCCGGATCCTCCTTTAGGCCAGTAGAGTTTTCCTGGAGGCGTATATGGTGTCTTTACACCATATATACTTAGTACTATCAATTTCCAGTAATATACGTTATGTAAAGTCTAAAATTATGTCGATTTATGTTCCTACATTACCGGGAACTCGGGTTGATCCCGGCCCTCTATCTCGGTACGCAAAAGTCTCCGGCCAATGAGATTACCACCAATCGATTCAGGAGAGTTTTTCCTTTGAGAATATGTATAACATGTTGACTGAAACCGTTTGGCAGCCGAGATATACAATTTAGTCGCGGTTTTGTCATTTTTTGCCCACTGTGCAATGGTTCAGGTGCTGCGGTGAGGGTTGTAAATAATCTCCTATTGGGCCTCCCTTAGCTCAGTCGGTAAAGGCGCAGCTACAAAGCAAGACCATGCTGGAGGTGGCTGGGTTCCATTCCCGGTCCGGTCTAGGAATTTTTCGGGTTGGAAAGTTTCTCGACTTCTCTGCGCATAGAGTAGGATTGTACTTGCCACATAATTATACTAATGCAAAAATGATAGCAGGCATGGAAAGCTCTCAATTAATAACTGTGGAACTGCATCTAGAACACTAAGTCGAGAGCACACAATAAGCTAATATGCGATATGCAATAAGCTTCAAATGCGAAGAAAAAGAAATAGTATTGAAAATATGTTAATTTTAAAATTATTAGGGGTGGCACTCTTGCCCTACCTGAATAGTGGCGGAAAAATTAAACTTTTTGAGCAGATTTAAGCAATGCGTAAAAAATGTGTGTTGTAAATTTCATATAAAATTAAAATCAACAAAGGTATTACGCTAAGCACGATGCGCTTTATTTTATATAGACTGTTAAAAATAATCACAGTGATAAATCACTTCCGCTTATATTAACGGCTTTCGTTTCAACTTACCCCGCATTGCAACTTACCCAGTGTACCTTACATACATATTTGTACGGTGAATATCGAAACAAATACCTAATATTGAGTCTTAAAGCTTTGTAATAACATGCAACGCGCTTCGCCTTATAGACGCCTGGGCCCCACCTTCCTGCATACCAAAACGTTTTTAGTACAAACCGACCTACGACACGACACACGCGTCATCGTACGCTACGAAGATCTCCACATGGCCTGTTTCATGCGTCGTCACTGTTACAGAACCTGTTTTGGGATCTTCTCTGTGTGTTGCGAGAAAAGCTAACCTATATTAACAACTGTTTATACCGGCTTTCTCTACTGATTCAGAAATAGGCAGCAGCAGTAGTAGTAGGATTCCTACAACAATCAATACATGTATGAAAGAAATACACCAGCTCACAACTTGCTGGAAACGTTTCTCTCTCACAGATGCCAGCCAGCTCAGAGACCCGGTTTTATTTAGTTTAGAGTTTTACGCTTCACAGGTTGGATCGTCGTCTACGTCGTCAGCTCGTCACGGATTTGATTCGATTTTAAACTGCTACAGCCCAGCCTAACAAGCAACCAGCAGAGGCCAATTAGGTGATACGTCAAGCATTTAGTCATCCGAATTCCACAACCAGTGGCGCATAATTCCGAGTTTTGTTAACTGAATCAGTATTGTTCGAGAACAATGTCCTGGTATTATACGGTAAGCATAGCGTAGTGGCATAATGGCACCGGTCAATTTGGATAATTTCCCTCCGAAAAGGAGTGCCTTGTCGATGACGAAATCCGGTCGATCGATAACTTCCGAAAAGAAAAACGGAAAATAGCGCTAATGCAATACGGTTAAGTAACTGTTAATGTCTTCCATTTTCAGCCCAAGCCAACCGTGGTCCCAGCGGTGAACTTCGATGCGTCGGCCGACGCCAATGCTCTGAGGGCCGCCATGAAGGGCTTCGGAACCGATGATCAAGCCATCATCGACATTCTGTGTGCCCGAAGCAATGGCCAGCGGTTGCAAATTCTCGAGACGTACAACAACGAACTGGGACGGGTGAGTACCAACGATATGTATGTAAATAGTGACTGGGGTTGTGCTTGGTTTATGACGTATAGAGATTGCGATGTTGATGTAGCAAACGTTGTGGTGGCCTTGATTTGTGTGTCTGTAATGTGGAATGGATGAGTCATAGCAATGGATCTCCATCAGAGTGTTTATTACAAGAGCAAAAACAGTAGCGCATTAGCATCGTATATTTGATGACATGAAATCTCATGAGATTAAATATGAATGTTATTCACTGATTCAATAAAGACTCAGACAAGATAGATATTGCTTCAACAATATTTTTGAAATACACTAAGCGTATGCTAACTAAAGGGACTTTTTGATGTTTATGAAAATCGCATATTTCTTCTGCTCTGCTAAGGTAAGTTGCTGGTTGAACAATTTTTGACACGAGTGCAAAATTTGTCTACGATTAGCTGGTATTTTGAAAACATTCAAAAAGTCCCTTTCAGTTAGCGAACGCCATTAATATACTCAATAGTGTGGCAGTGACGGTTTGTTACGTCCTTGGCAAACCATGTAAATGACGTGCCTTTCCCTAATTGCCTAAATCAAGCACCAGGTTTATCAATAGGCCTATTTTTATGGATTTCCAATATTTGTTCACGTGTAGAATTCTAAATACGCCTGAGATATCACTTTTCATTCAAATTCTGATTTATCTAAAAAAAACATCAATATCCCAGTGTGAAAATTTATCATAATCATAATGATCCTAATGCTTCTGAATGTCTTTATTTTTTTTTCTAGTATAAGTAAGTCGAATGGCTGCCTCAGAATCTTTTTCATTGGTAGGGGAACGCATCAATTTTGGCCATGTTTTTATGATATTTCACGTTTTTCACATGTTTGAGCTCTTACGGTGAAAGTTAATGCTTTTCCGTTGATACTGACTCCACACCCAAATTCAAAATGCATCAATATCAACAAGCATTGCAAATTAGCAAAATGGGAAGCATCAAAAATTTTGACCATAGGGTTTTTGATCTAATTTCAGTCCTACTAAGCACAACCCCCGCTTTACCTCTCTTTTTTGGACGGGTTTGAACTAAAAATGGAATATTTCTGTCAAAGATATCTTCTAAATTTATTCGCTATACAAACAATTGGATTTTAAAAAGAGTCACAAATGGTTGAGATATTGTCCAAAATCTAATACTGCTTCTTGATTCTAAAGTCGTCTTACGTAGGGCCTAACAAAGTCACTTTCTATTGGAAATCGTCAAGCTTGAGCTTGAGCTTGAGCTTGATTGACCGCCCACGGTTGCTACTCTGTTATTGCCAGATCAGCTGTAATTACACAGAGAACCAATAGACGATGCTTGGGACTAGCAATCATCCTCAATGTGTAAAAACTGGTGATCTTAAATTAGGCAATACCAGCGCCGGCCGCGCCCGAACACAGGTCAAGAAAGGAATGGGAAGGATTGTGTTGACATGACACTCGCTTTGATGGAAGCCGAGAACACCTCTGCACTTCCACGAGGAATCACTGGGATGTTGGATAAGAGGGTTGGGTTTGCAGCAGGGTTCGTTTTGGTAAACGATAAGCTGATTTGATGTCCTAACGATCATATAACGCGAAGGAGCTTGGGACTAAACCCACGGTCTTCTGCTCAGTAAGCAAAAACGTTTGCCACTAGGCAGACGAGCACCTTTTTAATCACCGAGTTTCTGTTATTACCATGTAGTCATATTAACAAATAAAACGATTGACGAATCTTGAATGTGGATGGGCCTGAGATTAGACTCATGATGTTCTACTTAGTAAGCAAAAACGGTTGCTCTAAGGCCACCGAGCCCCTCATATCACATATTACCGTTGCTCAAATTTTTGTATCCATTCAAACCCGGAATCAACGACAACAACGAGTTTCGCAAAATACACGATACACGAGCGATTTTACCATAAATCTCTTTGATATGTAAAAACCTGGAACCGCGTTTTTCTGCTCAGTAAGCAGGCCACTGTAACCGACGATCTTTCAAATCCGAAAACTAAAAACTACGAAAAAGTACTTAGGCCTTCATTAAGTTCCACTTTCACGCGACGTTCAATGTTTCAATTTTCTCTTTACGTATTGTTCAGGCTATAAATAGGCCCTTTTCAAAAGTTACGCGAGAAATACGCACAATCGTCGCTTACCTCGCAAAACTGGTTCCAAACGACAACAAAGGCATAAGCACCTACTGAAACCTGGCCGTAGGCCTATGCTAGACAGTCCCACTAGTTTCCGATACATTTATAGGGGATAGTAGGAGATTAAAAGAATGCAGAAGAGTTATAGAGGTTTTTTGTTGTTGTTTTGCTGAAAATAGAGAAACAGAACTATACGAAATTACACCTGCTGAAAAAAAGATAAGTCTATTATTTTGGTTAGTGATCGTTTGGATTTGGGTCACCCCACGTTGTGTTTAGGTTAGTTTAAATAAATAATACTATATAGTCATATAAATCACCACAGCTCATTATCTTCAGCGTTATCGCTTTTTGTTTCTGCATCTTTAGTAGCCTCTGTGATATACTTACTGGCGGCATACTATTTTGGGAGTGTATATGAGCGTGTACCATGTACGGTAGCTCATCTCTCATCGTGATGGTGGGACATAGTAGATAAATTAGAGAGAAAACAAGGAGGTATTAGTATTAGTTATATGTAAACAAACAAAACAAAAGAAGAGATGAGGAAAGAAGAGCAGAAAAATAAAAAGGGGATAAAGTAGTTAACAAAGAAAAGAAACGTATGCAGATTATTAGAAAAGGCATTATCCGAGAAATCAATCAAATGTCACTCCCGCCGAGATCTCAGCGAAACCCTCCCCGCCGAGACCCGCACAGCCGAGCTCGGTAGAAAAAACTAAGTGTGTAGATAGATTAGTAGGAAAATAAATAAAACTACTTTATGACTCAAAGCGCAATGAATGAACGTTAGTTTCGGGATCATTTCAGTGTTAGAGTTATGTTAGTTTTGATCCGTAATCAGCCCTGCCGGCCCCTCCAACATTAGTTGCAGGCAGTGGTTGTTAGATAATGCGACACTGTAACTACTACTATTTTAGAGGTATGATTCGTCAAGTTTATACAACTCAATGTTTCAATTGAGGCAAACTATCTATCTTACAATTACAAAAGTAAACCTAAACTTACAATCATCGTCAATCCCCTTATTCCAGGGCAGGGCCTGACGATTTGAATCTAATTTTGATCAGTGAACGGGCACCATATGGTACATTTTCTCACGATGAACCTATCATTTCCAGCCTATCTGGACTATTTAATAAATGGAAGCCATAACATGTGTTACGCTCCCCCTAAGCGGGCCCTCCGCATCCTGTCTCTGTCTCATATCAAATACAAAATGCCAATGGTATGAATGTATCTATATACTGCCGGTAATAGCAAGTCAGTCCCATCTGCATTTTCATCAATTTTGAGTTAGCATCATTATTCAGATTTTCTTTCTATGTTTTTTGAGATATGCTATTGAAAAAAGGTGGTTTGTTCAAGGAAAATGAAAAACAATACCAAGTCAAATTGTCCCACAGCGAAAAGTAACCGCAAGTCAGTCCCATTAGAAAAAATATGTTAGAAATGTTAGACAACACATCGCATCATGAGATTTGTGTCAAGACAGATTTTGCCCACTTTCCCTATGGTATCTGGAACATGTCCGGATGTGGCCAATATAGTTGTTACGATACTCAGTTTGACCGCCAATCGATATGGCTTTGAATTATCATGTATCGCTTGATGGAAAAAAAACGGATTTACCACTCCCCCGGGGATACCCGGAACATGTCCGAGTGTGGCCAACATGGTGCTGGTCACTCATCATGACTCTTATCGATCTTATTTTTGATTTCTCATGTGAATTGATTTATCGCATGGGGGGTTTGGCTCGTTTATAAAAAGCTCTGGTCTGATGAAGACCCATACTTACCGGAGTATGTTTCGGCCATTGCTTTGGAACCAGCGGAGCAAATCCAGAAACATTCAATAACGTTCTATGGGACCATGGTATCTTTCTACTGTTCAATACTGAGCTAAACTAATGCAGCATCGTCATGGAATTGTGACTGACTTGCGGTTATTTTTCTCATTCACGGTAAATGTAATCGCAAGTCAGTCCCACTCAGATTTTGGCCATAAAATAAAAATTTTACGATATTTTTCCAATATTTTTGGGTAAACATAGATGCATTCTATCACATTGTACGTTTATTTTTAAATTTATCCCTCCAACATAAGTGTCAAATCAGAAAACTTGAAAAATCTTTGAACGCCGTTTTCTCATTTCCAGTTTTTTACAGATGGGACTGACTTGCGATTATGGGCAGTATATAACTTGGAAATGACGTACAATCAAATAAACCCCCTTAATCCACTCACTTGGTCAGGCTTCAGAATCGTCTAGTGGGCAGTGCGCTCTACACTCCAAGTTACCTTTTTTTTTCAAATTTACTGCAAATTTGATATTTTACCCATTGAGTGTTGATTAGTCACAATGAAACATTGTGACAGAAGTTGAGGTTATATGGTCCTATTTAGGATTATATCTGATAAATCCAAATCTGGCCAACGCCCACCCTAAACCTAAACCTGTTCTAATCCACCTGAAATGACTAACGAATGGAAGACTTTGACTACCCAGCCATGCAATAGTCTCATTCCGTGCCTTATGGCAACTTGATGATTCTATTGCGCTCATCTTCTGGCACCACCCAGGGGAGACTTGGTCCTGTACCCAATGCTTAACTTATCTCCATTCCACTCAGCTACTCGCAATTTCTTGTGATATAGTGGGCGGAATATTATTATATGAGACAATTCAATGCAGACGTCTTTCCAAATTTGGCAGAACGACAGGTAATCGGTGAGATACCACGATAGTTGCTATTCAACAACTCGACAGCGTCCCATCGTCAACGCCTGCTATGAGAATTTCCCATTGCAGACGCCAACGAAATGACGTCATCGAGCTATC